CGGGCACACGCAAGGGGCCGGGAGGGAGAAGAAAGGGCCTCCCAGTCTGGTGGTGAGGTTACGGGAGGTCGAAAGCAAGTGAGAAAGCCGTGCGCGCTGTGTTCCCCTAAACAAAGCTAAACGGGGCCTTCACACGCCGGGCGCCGGCCCAAACGCTCCCCAAGACGTCTGCACTACTGTCCCGTCCCTTGCCGGGCTGTGCGTGCGCAGGGCGTTCGCCACGTGTTACCATTTCCGGGGCTGAAGTAGCGCCCAAAATGGGGCTACAAAACAGTCGTTCTGCTCCAATCCTCCGCCGACCTCCGCGGCTCCCTCCCACTCCAGGCTCAGAGGGATTCAGGGTGCCATGTACTCGGGTTTTCACCGCTGCACTAAAGTGGCTTAGAGTCAGGTGGAGTCCTGAGCCCAGGAGCTGCAGGCAATAATAATTTAGAAATGTATCCTCGCCCCTGATAAATGTCTTCTTTACAGCCAAAAGTCGCCTTTTGGGTTTCTGATAAGTGGCAACAAACTAGTTAAACAGCAGCATTCCAGAGAAATTCCCATCCCCCTAAAGCTGGAGGGGGAAAGGGGACCAGCCTTTGCTGTGGTTTACAAAAAAAGCAGCCCGTGGAAACTGCAATTGGAGGATTTTCCTAACAGTCGCTCGCTTCACTGTAGCCTGTGATGGAAACGGAGACCGCGGAAAGGTGCGTTCAGAAGCCTCCTGAGGGAAGGCTGGACAATTTGCCCTTTTTCCTCAAACACGGCTCCAGTTACTGACACACGCTGGCTAGATAAAGCCTCCCCTCCAATGCTTCTGCCTTTTAGCAAAGCATAAGAAACCATAGGCTTGAGTGGAGGCTTTGTCCAGAGCAGTGGATGGATGTGAGACTGATGGAAAATGACATCTGGGAAACGGTGGCCAGGTCTGTGTAAATACCTCAGGGGAAGCCACAGATTCACCCGAAGATTGGGAGCGTGAAGATCCGAGCTCCCCTAGCAACAGGACATCCTCCACGTTGCAGCTGTTGCTGTGCTACTTCTAATTTCTACTGAGACGGGAATGGCTCGTTGTAAATACAAAATGTACGATGTAAGAAATGCAATTTTGCTTTAAGAAATAAGTACATGTTTAGACTCTTTAATTACTATTCTCTGAAATTTGTATTACATCACACTCCCATGGTGGCAGGGGGAAGGGATTGCCCATTTCCGTTGTGTAATACAACCGACTCTTCAGTGTGCTTGTTTAAGGCAGCCAGTGAGTAGGAAAGATGTCAGCCAGGCTTCTGAAGACAATCATGTGATAATCCACACTAGGACAAGAGCAGAGTATTTCTTTGTCCAGGACCGTGATTCCAAATTCTCAGTCACAATGTCATGAATACTCAGCGCATCTGTGTGCCAGAAGGGATTAATAGCTGTTGTGAGTGTGGAAGGACCCTGACACTCACAAATGCACCCGTGTGCACACGGCTTTTTGTCCACACAAGGTAGCATTTGCCGGGGTTCAGGCCACTGCTCGGTCCCTACCTGACCCCTACCCATGTCCAGGAGCGCTGCCTCCTGCCTTCCTCTCCTCTCTTACATGAAGGCCACACCCACTGACTAAGCTAGCTCAGAATCTGGCCAAAGCTGGGACTATCCATTCTGAGACTAAGCTGTAAAAAACAACAACAAAAGCAAAACTATGGCTTCCATCCTGGGTGTCACCTGCCTCTCCTGTCTTGGCTGCTTACTGAGAGGAGGCCAGGCCTAAGTACTACTACATCCTGAGGCAGCCCTGTGGAGAAGGCCTGAGGCCTGCCAATAACCACTTGCATGCACTTTTTCCACACTAATCAGACCTTCCAATGATACCTTTAACCCCAGCCAACAGCATGACTACAACCTGCCCTCAGCTAAGCTGCCTGCCTTCCTGACCCACAAAAATCCTACCATAATAAATGTTTGTTATCTTAAACTGTGATGATTTGAGCCATAGGTAACTGACTAATCCAAAGGCAGAAGTCAGCAGAGCCCCAGTGAGAACCCTCCCTGGCTTTCCTCATCCCTCAGCTGGAAAAGACAATGTGGAGAGAAAAAAAAAAAAAAAGAACCTGACCCAGATTTAAGTGCAATATATAAATCCCAAGGACGGAAGGGCTGGCCCACATTCCAGGTGCAGAGCAAAGGTTATCCTTGAACTTAAACTAGGTCACAGGGTGTGAAGTGCTGCCCAGTCCCAGGCTGCCCTGGTGTTGGATGCTACTTACCTGTCCTCATGTGCAGATGTCTGTGTGTCCCAGGACAGACTTCTGTTCAGACATAATCGTTCTGGTCCTCTTCCCCAGGGCATCTTCTGAGATCCCTGAGGCCCTGGCCAGGCCCATGGAGTCAGGCCTTGGTTCTGCAAGGAGAGCTTGAACCAAGGTTCTTCAACTCTGACAGCCAGAAGAGATGAATGATTTCAGTGGGGTGTGTAAAAACTGGAAAGAAAAGCTTGCTGCAATTGGGGTGCAAGTCACGGATTGGGGTCCGAATCACCTCCACACTGCTTCTTAGGGCTGGGAGGGGCACACTGTCCACAATGTCTCTCAGCACCACTTCCTCCCTGATCGGAGCCAATTATTTACTCTTAAAACACAAAGCCAAGTTTTAGGAAGCTGAGGAGATGTCCTACTCCTTTAGCACGGACATCCGCCTATGTTCCCTCCCTGCTGCCCCCAGCCAACGCCCCCCACTCTAAGCTGTAGAAACGCAATTGCGGTTGTAGCCACAGTTTCTGTTTTCCCTCCAGATACCCCAGGCTCCAGTTCTCCTCCTGTACAGTGGCCACAGCTGTTGTGTTGCGTGCCGTCATCCAGTTGCTATGACCTGGAAGGTTGTGCATGTGTCAGAACGAGAATCTATTAATTTAACCCAAACTAGGCTCAGCACATATATTCCTTGTTAGGTCATTTGCTTTGCTCCCTGAACCACATTCAGCGTGCTCCGCAACGGGCCTGTTTCCTAGAGCCTGGCTTCACAGCAGTGCCAAATGCCCTGATTTTGGAGTCTGAAGTTTTATGACTAAATTACTGTGGATGACATGAAGGAATTCTAGCTGAGGGAGGCAGACTGGCCAGGCCAGAGGGGAAAAAATCAAGGGGTGAGAAACTGTTAGTTTCTGGTCCTATTCTTTGTGTTCAGAGCGTCTCTATGGGAGAGTTTATGCACTAACATTTGCTAGAATCCTTCCGAGTGCTGGGTGCCCGTGGATGTCTGAGCTCTCCAAAGCAAGGCTATGTGTTACGTGCTACAATAAAAGGAACCCCACCTTTTTCTCTTGTGTTGAGCACACAGACAGGGGTTCTTCATTCATCTCTTTAGTTAAGATTCACTGAGTGTCTACTCCTGAGAGTGCTGGGGATGCAAAGACGAAAAGGACAAAGTCTCTCCCTAGTGGAAGAGAACGGCACATAAATTACCATGTAACACGAGAATCTAGCTTTGGACCAGGCACCATGAGACTCAGAGAAAAGGGGAAGTTAGCGTGGGAAGAGGAGTTCTGAGTCACCACTAGGGTTTTCGTTTTCAAAAGAGAAATACAGTATTAAAAAGTATAGGGATGCACGAAGAATCAAGTCATGTACACAGACACAAAAGAGGGTTTGGACTGTTTCTGAGGTGTATACAGTGCTTTGGCTTGAGGTGTATACAATGTATGAATATTTGTATGGAATCGGAACAAAGGATTGTGAATGCCCAGGATTTGGCCATGACTTACAGGTTTTCCGTATTCTCCATCCTAAACCCAAGGCCACGCCTACACAGTGAGTTGAGTCTCTTACCCACGACAGCTTTCCCCATCCTCCTTCTAGCCTGCCAGATGGTGGGAAGGGAACAGAGGAGAGAAAGGAGATCAGCGCAAGTCGCGCTTTTCGCCCCCTCCAGCTCTTGGTCAGGCCAGCAAGGTGTGTGGCCTGCTGCCTCTCTGGGCACAGAGGGGCTCCTATGCAGCTCCCTGCTGGGGATTCTGAAAGGAAGCTGCCTCCAGAGCTGGTTTATCCTGACCCAAGGGCATCCACATCCATCCATCCGCAGAGTGAGCCTGTGGTCAAAGCCCAGTAGAGGCAGAGAGAGAGGCTCTGAGGGTCCCCATAGCTCTTACACAAGGTGGTCTTCACACTGACAGCCAGCACCTGCCCTGGAGAGAATTAAGGATCTGACCAGGAAGAGTGGCCAGGAAAGGGAACATTGAGCTGCCAAAGGGAGAGGCTGGCGCTGGGGTGAAGGCTTGGCTTTGCTCACTCTGGGCAAAATACTCACCTTTTCTGTGCACCACCCCCCTTTCTTGGTACCAGAGATCAAGCTCAGGGCATTGTGCTTGCCAAGCAGGCACTTAAGCCACTGAGCTATCTCCCCAGCCCTTCTGTGCCCCTTTATTCTTAAAATTAGGATGATGTTAACAGTTATACATACTAGATAAGGTTGTTATGAGAATTAAGTCAGTTTGAGGGCTGGCGAGATAGCTCAATGGACTAAAGCGCCTGCTTAGGCAGAGCGCAGTGGCCAGCCAGGGCTCAATCCTGGTGTACTGTGCTGGCCCCTCCCCCTCAGTGTGCTGAGATGGTGATTGACACTGGACATGGTGGCGCACGCCTTAATCCCAGCACTTTGGGAGGCTAAAAACAGGAGAATCACTATGAGTCCAATCCATGCAGTGAGACCCTGTAGACCCTTGTACCCTGTACTAAAATACTATATATATATATATATATATATATATATATAGTTAGTTAGTTTGAAAAGCTCTTTTTTTTCTTTTACTTATTTATTTATTTTTATATATTCTTTTATTATTTTCCCATAATTTTACTGAGAAACAAGTAGCAATGAGACAGTTTCAAACCAAATTGGTAGGGCAGTTTCAATAATTAACACCCTGCATACATTCTTCTTAGTGGTTAATTGCTGTACAAGATGCGGACATGATATCCTATTTACAAACACCATTAGAACAAATCCCTCTATTCATTAAGAGAATGTAACTATAAAAAAATATAGAACACTTCATGAATTTGCGTGTCATCCTTGAGCAGGGGCCGTGCTAAACTTCTCCGTATCGTTCCAATTTTTAGTATATGTGCTGCCGAAACGAGAACTGTAAAGCTCTTAAATATAAATATTCTGTTTTATCCATTCAATAAATACTTCACTTGCTGGGCTGAGGAGATAGCTCGGTGGTCTAAGTGCCTGCCTGGTGAGCGCAATAACCCAGATTCAATCCCCGGTACTGTATACCACACTGGCCCCAGAACCAGCTATGGTGGCACATGCCTGTGATCCCAGTGCTGGGGAAGCTGAGACAGGAGGATCACTCTGAGTCTGAGCTGCGGAATGAGACCCTGTTCCAAATAAATAAATAAATGATTTAAAAAGATTTTAAAAGAATGCTTCACTTATCAAACAGAAGGATTCTACATGGGGAGCACATGACCCTAAGGCCTCTGATGTGAAGGTCAGCTTATAAAGCAAGCGGGGTCAGCTGCCGGCTGCACATTTTCCATGTGGGGTAAGTGATAAGATTGGAGCCCTCCACACAGTGCATTTCGGAAGCCAGGCACCAGGCACCTCTTTGTATGTAATTATGTCTGATTATCCAGGTATAATTCAGGAGAGGACTGTGGAGGCACAGTGGCAGTCCTCCTCCAAGTGTCCTTGTCCTAGCAAGTATGTGAATATGAGGTGTGATGTAAATGCGTATGGTGAATTTGTTGAATGTTTTACAGTGAAGGACACATCCTCATTAATTGCTCTCAAAATACAGTTTTTTAAATTTTTTAAAAAATTATTTATTTATTTGGTACAGGGTCTTGCTATGAAGCTCAGACTCGTAGTAATCCTCCTGCCTCAGCCTCCCCAGTGCTGGGATTGAATACATTTATGCCATCATTTCTTGTCACTTTCTAAAACAGTCGAAACCCTCTTCTGTGTCTCTACAAGATGTGATCAAAGATATGGTGAACGCTGCTGACAGTGCCACCCAACAAGAAGGCAGGTCATAAAAATATCGCCATGTGGCCTCAACAGGCTTATTCTCCACATCTAGGACCAGCCAACTTCTAGCTCTTGCCCAAGGTCAAAATGATCACGAAGCCAGGCGTGATGATGCAGGCCTGTAATCCCAGGCCTCGGAGGCTGAGGCAAGAGGACTGCTTGGAGCTGGGGCCAGCGTGCACTACAAAACAAGACCCTGTCTCAAATCAAACAAAGATGACCGTAAAAGGTCATTCACATCAATTCAGGTCATCCAGGCAGCCAGTACAACACAGACACTCACAAAAAAGGTCTCCCAGAACTGCTGCAGAAAGAGACAGGACCGATGATGTCAGTGTGCTCAAAATGAAGGGAAATACTCTGAGGGGAATTAATGGCAATGTGTCCTCTTAATTTGAACAATGACCTTTTTTTTTAATCACACCTTATATGTTAAGCTACATGATAAAAGGAAATTAAAGTTGTGAGAGGCCTTAAAGCTGTAACTTAGCTGACTGTAAAACAAAGGAATGTTCCTGGATTGGTGGTGCATGCCTGTAATCCTAGATCTTGGAAGGCTGAGGCAGAAGGTTTACTGCTAGTTTGAGACCAGCCTGGGCAACAAAGTGAGTTTAAGGCCAGCCTGAACTGCATGGTTAAGCCCTGTCTCAAAAAGAAAAAAGAAAAAAAAAAAAAAATCCTGCATTACCAGGGTGGGCCCAATATAATCACAAGGCTTCTTGAAAGTATAAGGGAGGGACTGGGGAGATAGCTCAGCAGCATAAGCGCCTGCCTGGCAAGAGCAAGATCCTGAGTTCAATTCCCAGTACAGAAAAAAAGAAAAAGTAGAAGGGAGGCTCCGAAGAGGCCTCAGGCTCGAGGGAGAAGTGACTGTTGAAGAGTGCATGGCCAAGAGCCGCGGCCCTGCAGGATTTAAAGACCCACAGCTGTGGGTGTGAGCCCAGAAAGCTAAGGCTATGTGGACGGCTTCCGGAAGCCAGAACCAGGCAAGAAAACAAGGCCCTCTGGAGCTTGGGAGGGAACACAGCCGTTCAAACACGGTGATGTTGGCTTAGTAACCTTGGGCTGGACATTTGACCTATAAAACTGCTTTGAAAAAAAATACAAAATGTTTTTTTAAAAAAATTACAAACGATGCAGAAGGCTGTGTTGCTTTAACCTACCAAGTTTCTGCTAGTTTGCGACAGTAGCTATAGAAATGAACCAGACAGGGACATTTTCCAAATGTGGTGTTTCCTATGAAGTATTTACGCTGTGTTTTGTTTTTGGCAGAACTGGGGGTTGAACTCAGCCTCTTGTGCTTGCCAGGGAAGCGCTCATTCTACTGAGCCATCTCCCCAGTCCCTATGCTGCATTTGCGAAGTCCTACTTTTTCTTTATTGGAACTAAGAAGAGAGCCAGGCTGGTGGGCCAGGCGAAGTCCCAGCAGCCAGGTCACCAGGTGGTTTCCAGGGTTACAGGCCACAGAGTTCCACACTCCGAGAGACTGTCTTTTTGCCACGCCGGGGATCTGAACGGACGCTCGTCCACGCTAGGTGGGCACCGTGCCACTGAGCCGTGCAGCCCTGGGCCCTGTCTGCGTGCGGGCTCCCCACTTGTGTGGACGAGCTCTAAGTCACACACCAGGTCGTGGCACTTCTTCTAGAACACCACATGCAGAGGTCAAGTGGAGAAATGGCCAACAAAGGTACATCAGAGTCAACTGGCAAGGCTGGGATGTGGTTCAGCAGCGCAGCACCTGCCTGACAAGTACAGGAGAGCAAGTTCAATTCCTGGCACCCCAAAAGAAAAAGAGTTAACTGTTAAAAGGTGATGCGTTATGGGCATGTATCAACTGCACGCAAGGACCGTAAGCATTATACGCTGCCAACATGTGCTAATAAAAAGGTTTCTGTGAATATTTTGTACAGTTGACAACCAAGGAGCCCAGCAAGACTGCACAGCCACACAGAGCTTCAATCTGTCTTCTTACCATGAATATAAAACCACAAACCCAAGAATGAAAGCGATGTGCACAGCATTCCCGGGAGCCACGTGGGCAGGGCCTCTGTCATCCTGCACAGGCTGCTTTTTCCAGCTTGCCACAGGTGAGTATTCATCAGCAGACACAGCGCAGAGGTCGAAGCTCAGTGCACAGTGCGAGGAAGTCTTTTCACAGTCCTCTGCCAGCAATAAATGTGAGTCCCAGGACACCAGCTTCAGCAGAATGTGGGTGGGAGCTGTCATTTGGGTTCACTGCCAAGAGGACCAGTCAGCACGAGGTTGCTGTGGGGCCACGACTTCTCTTGGGAAGAAAAAAGTCCTCCTCTTCTGGGTATGGCAATTTTGGGGGAATCTAATGGGAAGCCAGGTCCTTGGCCATATAAAGCAGCCCTAAGATGCTACAGCTTTGGGGCATCTTTGTTGACTGGAATTCATTACAGTGGCTCCGGGGAACTATATATAAAGGCATAGTTCATGGGTTGCTTAGACAAGGCAAAAGACCGCATCCCTCCCCCCAGCCTATCCCCTCTACAGCTTTCCCAATTAAATTTCCCACAAGGCCGTGGGATACAAGAGCCACTGTGGACAGCCAGCGCCAATTATGTTTGCATTATAGTTCCATTTACAGCAAGCTACCACACCGGCCGGAGCATCCCTGACCCCCATGTCCCTCTTTTAGACTCACGAAAGCTACCACACTTGAATAGTGTTGGGCTTTGCCTGGTTTCCTGACAGAATGTTCGCCCTCCCCCCCACCCCGCCCCATTGTAGGGTGTGCCACTGAGTCACTGCTTGAGTCAGTCCATGGATTAACTCCCATCTGAGGTGGCTGCAAAGAGCCTGAGGACCTGGAGAATGACACAGGCTTCCTCTGTGGAGCACATCCCAGGTACTGGTTTGGTGAGGGCAGTTCCTGTCCCAAGATATATCCTCCTCCAAGTAGAAAAGCAGAGCCAGCTTGACAGCCAAAGCTGTAGATACAAGGTACCCTCAAGCTCATGTCATGAATAAAGCCTCCTTCATGGCCCATCTAGCTGGGAATTTAGACGACAGTTTAGACCAAGTCAGGAGGCTTGTGGAATGTGCCACTGTGACCGGCAACCCTTACCACATTTTCCTTAGGCACTGAGGGGAGGGTACAAGAGCTGGAGTGTGTCCTACAGCACCGGCAGCGTGGCCACCACAGGTTCTGAAGGCTACATTTGTATGCCATCTGCAGGGTTATGGACTTCTAGGCGTTTCTGACAGAAGGCTTTGAATTGTCAACACCCAGTTAAGACAGAGCACTGAAGGCTGCACATACTGGAGAGCAGGACACAGGCCAAAATCCATAAACAAGCCTCCGGTGCTTTCCATACTGAAACCCGCAAGCAGCAGTGCAGGAAGGATGCACCACGGGCCTTGGGTCTCCGGCTTTCCTATCCCTGTGTTTGACATCGTTGGACTTGTCTCTCACACACCTGCATGCCTGGGGAGCAGTCCCTGAATGCCCTTTGCTCAGGAATTTTAAAGACAGCTCCTTTCCCAGAGAAAAGGGCAGACATGCTTACTGTCTGGTGTTTATGGTTCTGATTCGCTAAGCCAGGGCCCTCCTTGTGATGGACCTCACTGCGCATTCAGCTGTCACCTGGCCTTCGGCGCTGTGGCCTTCAGGACCAAACGGGAGCCAGTGGCGACATTCTACCTGCTGCTATTGTTCTGTGCACAGAGGACCCTGCTCCTGCGGCGGTACTCAGGAGCCTTGTGTCGCCCGGAGCACCACTAAAGCCACGGCAGGCTCGCTGTTAGCTCGCAGGCAGGCAAAATCCCAGCCCCTCCACAGCCCTTAGCAACTCCTCATTTCTTGCTTCTAACAGCTCCCCAACCCACAGCCAATCCCCCTCATTCCCACAATCCTGAAAGCCACCTTGGCAGTTTGGGCTAAGGAGAAACTCCTCATATACAGGTGAACACAGATCAAAGTAAAGACCACGATGCCGGTGCAGGCCCTGGTGACAGGACTGAGATATCCAGAAGTTCAGGCTTTACCAAGAGCAGAGTCCTTACCATTCGGGGCTGTTAATAGCTCCATTGTGGGCTGTATATTTTAGTCAACGGATGGACAAGCAATTACAAACATGCT